GAAAAATGCCATCTTTTAAGGGAAGTCAGTTCCTCCAGTCTTTGGCTGGTAGAATGAGCTGCCTCAGCAACTGCCCATCCATGCGGCTCCTGCTTCCCTCTAACCTCAACACACGTGGCACCCCTGGGGTTGAACTCATGCTGTTATTGCCACCATTCCGAATGGAATTCCCAGCGGGTCAGTGAACTTGACTGTGCTGCATAGCTTAAAAGTGTATGTCTTTCCAAGGTTCCCCATTGTGTTTTCAGGAGATTTTTTTCATGGGGGGGGGGAGGAATAATCATCCCTCATGTAGATATTGAGCGTTTCCGTTTCTAAAGCAATTTTGCATTTATCATCTTGTCTACTTTCTTCTCTCCAGAACTTTCTTAACAAGGGTGTTATTATCCCCATTTTACATGTAAGGAAACAGGTCACATCATCAGTTGCCTGGTGGTAGAATCAGGACTGGAGCTCTGGTCATTTGACTTCAATCCGTGGACTTGCACATATCCTATCTTTGTGGTTGTTTTGAGGTGTCATTGAGTCACTTCCAACTCACAGCGACCCTGTATACAACAGAACAAAACCCTACCCAGTCCTGCGCCAGCCTCACAATCGTCACTAGCCTTGAGCCCATGGTCGTAGCTACTGTGTCAATCATTCTCATTGAGGGCCTTCCCCTGTTTCATTGACCCTCTACTGCTCCCAAGCATGATATCCTTCTCCAGGGACTGGTCCCTTCGGACAACATGACTGATGTAGTAGAGATGAAGCCTGGCGAATCTCCCTCCTAAGGAGCATTCTGGCTGTATTCCTTTCAAGGAAGATTTATTTGTTCCACTGGCAGTCCATGGTATTTTCAGTATTGTTCACCAGCACCACAGTTCAAAACCATCAATTCTTCTTTGGTCGTCCTTATTCATTGATCAACTTTCACATGCATATGAGGCGATTAAAAAGACCCTTCCTTGGGTGAGGGATACCTTAGTCTTCACCTTTGTTCTTCAACACTTTTAAGAGGTCTTTTGCAGCAGATTTGCCCAGTGCAATATGACATCTGATTTATTTTTTTCCTTTTTTTTTTTTTTTTAAATTGTGCTTTAGGTGCAAATTTACAGAGCAGAGTTTGTTTTACATTCAACATTTCATGTACATTTGGTTTCACTCCCCAATTACCATCCCCAACCCTAACCCACTCACATCCCCTCCTTTCCCAGTAATCCCCCGTGCCCCTCACTGTTATGTTCTCCTGTGTGTCCTGCATTTCCTCCGTGTGAATGTTGTCCCTCTGGTGCCCCACGGTCGATTGCTGCAAGGGGTGCATCTCCATAGAGTAGGTGCATCGCCCTGGGTTGAGTGGTCTGCATGTACTGTACTGAGAGCCAGCCCTTGGGAGTAAGTTTTATTCCAGGCTTGAAGTGTATCCCAGGGCCATACTCTTGGGGGGTCCCACCAGACTCCATCCAATCAGTAGTTCTGGTCATTATTGTGTTTTTGGATTTTGTTCCATGTTTTTCCTCCCAGTCTATCTAGGATCTGACATCTGATTTCTTGACTGCTGCTTCCATAGGTGTTGATTGTGGAAACAAATAAAATGAAATCCTTGATCACTTCATTCTTTTCTCCTTTTATTGTGATGCTGCTTATTGTCCAGTTATGAGGATTTTTGTTTTCATTATGTTGAGGTGTCATCCATACTGAAGACTGTAGTTTTTGATCTTCATCAGCAAGTGCTTCAAGTCTTCTTCAATTTCAGCAAGCAAGGTGGTGTTATCTGCATATCACAGGTTGTTAATGAGTCTTTCTCCAATCCTGATGCCACGTTCTTCTTCATATAGTCCAGCTTCATGGATTATTTGCTCAGCATACAGATTGAATAAGTATGGTGAAAGGATACAACCCTGGCACACACCCTTCCTGATTTTAAACCATTCACTAGCCCCTTGTTCTGTTTGAAGGACCGCCTCCTGGTCTATGTGTAGGTTCCTGATGAGCACAATTAAATGTTGTGGAATTCCCGGTTTTCTCAATGTTATCCATAATTTGTTATGATCCACAGAGTTGAATGCCTTTTCATAGTCACTAAAACACAGATAAACATCTTTCTAGTATTCTCTGCTTTAGGACTTGGACTTGGAGTTGATTACCTGTCTCATCATGGGGAATAAGTACATCCAGCTGCCCAGCCACTCAAAAGCAAACCCAGCCAAGTGGACACACAACTTCACTACCACACCATGATTCTGACTTCTCCCCAAACTGCCTTTGGACTGGCACAAGCTACAGCATCTTTAACTTGTTGCAGTTCAGTTGCTGAAGAATTCTGATTTGGGTTCTAGGTTAAACTACCTTCTAGCTGTCCATGTGATAATTTAATGTACATCAATAGAAAAATGATCAGTAACGAAGTGTAAAATAAGAGCAATCTATGGAAAATCATTCTGGACTGATATTTAGCATCCCTTTTGACTGAAATGTTTGCAAGTTCTCACTGAAGGAAGCTGTTGATGTAGCATCACCGAGTCAGCAGGGGATGGCTGTGCATTCTCAGGGAAGGTAGAAGTGGAGTAAAAGAGGCAGCCCGGTGTTTTGGCCCCATGTTTGGAGATGTTGGATCCAAATTCTAGTTCTCCCATGAGCTATCAGAGTAACAAAACATCATCTCCAGGGACCTCAGTATTCCCATCGATAAATACACCTGGAACAGGTAATCTCTTAAGTGCTTTATAGATCCTCCATGACTCTGTGAAGATTCTCTTTTCTCCCCTCTCTCAATAATCCAAGAAATGTTTTATTCATTCAATTCATAGACTTAATTTCCAAAAATTGAGTTAGGCTAACCAAGGTCAAGATTCCTCACAGTGAGTGTTAGAGGATAATGAGAAAGAAGTTTGTACAAAATCAGCTGAGCTGCCACAGTCTTCCTCCCCGGAGCCCATGTAACTTGGATTGAGCCAAGAGTGGGACTGTCACCTGATAGGGTCTCTGTTATTTACCTCTTTGGCACATTGATGTCAGTTTGTTACCTCTGCACTACAGCTCCCTCTTTCTTCCCTCTTATCAGTGGGGCATCCTATCATTTCTAGTGCTCTGTCCACTCATCTCTGCTCTCGACTGGGTTCCAGCCTCTCTGGTTCAAATTTTCCTTATTGGCTTTTGGCTGAAGGGGTGACAATGTTTAGTTGTTAATATTTACTTATGAATAATACATTCCAGTGCATAAAATGCAATTTAGAAAAAGAGAAAACAAACTTTGAATACTTCTAGGTGTTAGACATTGAGCCTGACATTTTTAATATATTACATTCTTTAACGGGAGCTCTGGTATCGTAGTACCTAAGGCACTTGACTACTAACCAGAAGGCTGGCGGTTCAAACCCACCAGCCACTCCTCGGAAGGAAGGTTGGGCACTCTACTTCCGTAATGATACTGTGTCGGAAATCCAAGGAGGGGTCACTATGAGTCCGGTCCGACTTGATGGCACATAACAACAGAATTATATGACTTGCTTAAGGTCACGTAATTAATAAATTCAAATGCATGTTTCCAGACTCTTTCAGCTTAGGTCCCTTTTTCTTTCCCTGTGTGTCCATTTTGCATTTGATTCTCTCAGTGACCCTGTAAGGGAAACAAGGGAGACATTACTAGCTTCGTTTTAATTCATTTTGTTTTCTATCACAACATCTAGAATAGTAATACGTACATAGTGGGCACTCAATAAAAAGGAACTGAATGATTAGATGAATTTAATTAGGTCTGTGAATTAAGGAAATAGGGGTTCAGAATGACTCTCGCAAGGTTACCAGCTAGAGAGTGGCAGTTGGGAGTGAGAACTGTTCAGTTCAGATGTTTCTTCTATTCTGTAGATTCCGTCTCAGAATCTTTCCGGAACTGACCCATTCTCACTGCTAGGGATGAATACTGGTGGGCAGACATACTGACTGCCTCTTAGGACTCCATCTGAACCTTTATCTTGGGTCTTTTATGGCCCTAATTAACTGAGTTCTAGGGTAGTTGTTTTGTGCCAATTAATGTCAATCTTCTGGATCCAGGGTAAGAATGGGGAAAAGTGATAGCCAAGGAGATACAGTACAGTAACTTGCCTAATGATCTACCCCAAATCATGAGTACAGCTGGCCCTAGGACCCATGGTTTCAGACCGCTCGTCCATTACTTGATTCTACACCACACTTTAGACCCTTGGCAACAGGACCTTTCTCTATTTCTAGTCCCCTCAAACCTCACCATGCTCCTCCTCACAAAGTGAAAGTGTCAGTCATAGTGTCTGTCCTGATTCGGTGCTTGGTAAAGCGCATAGCACTCTGAAAGGCTTGCAGGAGAAGCAGGCCATCGCTTCTGGACACTAGGAGGTTAGGAAATGTGGACTATTGCCCTGTTTCTGCCCCTCACTAGCAATATGACCGGTGCACATCTGGTTTCCTCTCTAAGCTTCAGTTACCCCTTGTGTAAAATGAGACACATTAGAGAATCTGTTAAAAATCTTGGTGGCTCTGACATTTGATGCACTACGACTGCTTGGGTGCCCTGTCTACATAGGGTGAGGGTGGGAGTAGATTAGATGCAATTCAAGGGTCTGCCTAACTCTGCTGTTCTGGGAGCCTCTGTGTCTATAGGCTACAAGAGGGATATGTTCCCAGTAACAATTTTTTCCTTCTTTATTTTGAGGCCTGTTCGTTCATGCAAAAAAATTTGATGAGGATCAAATGTGTGCCAGAAAATTCTGTCAAGGATTTTTGCTCGTGTTTCTCCCCTGCTGGAATGTCTGGCACAGCCCATAGTGACGTGGAGTAAGAGCTCAGGGGTCCCGACCACTGTCTGCCTCCTGCACAGGCAACCATTATGACACATGGGAAGTGCTTGCTGGCTTGCTTAAGACCTAGGGCTAGTCAACTTCTTCAGTTTACTGATTGGAATCTTCTTGAGTTAAAATGCTTACACAAGTCATTGTTTCCCATTAAGCACTGCTGTTTTCTTCTCTTTTTCCTGTACTATCCAGACTCTCTCCTAAGCATGCCCCAGATATTCCTGATGACAGCACCGACAACATCACTATCTTCACCAGAATCTTAGATCGCCTTCTGGACGGCTATGACAACCGGCTGCGACCTGGGCTTGGAGGTCAGTTATTACTTTCAGATAATTTCTTTGGCTTTTGTCATCTAACAAGTTTCACAAGATGCCTGCCATAGTCTGTTGATCAATGGGGTTACTGTAAAGCTGAGTTTCTTCCCTCTGAATATTGGAAATTAGTTCTAATCTTTTATTTCAGTGGGTGATTTTCCCGGTTTGGTTTTGGAAAGTTCTGGATTACTTCCATGTACAAAATTTTTCTCTTCCTGGCCAAGTATCAACTCTTGAAACATCACCTGAGACTATCATGGGTCCAAATGTCTCATCCCCAGTGAGTGAGCAGTTAGATCAATGAATCTGGGGTATTTTACTGTAACATTTTGGCTAAGCCATTTCTGGTATCAAAATATCAATACAAGACTGGATGAAAAGTGAAGCCCAATACAGCTGAGAAACATGCCTTTGTACCACAAACCCTGAGCACATATCAGCCTGACACCCCAAAGAGAAGCAATCTAATGCCTAAACTCACTGCCGTCGGGTCAGATCATAGCGACCACTCCTTGGGTTTCCAAGGTGAGCTCTTAGCTGGCAGTCAATATGATGGAAAGGAGGTAGATGCGTTGCAATATATCATGGGCTGTATTGAAAGGGCAAGTATTTAGAAAGGGTGGGCCAAGTCAGTTTGGCCTTTGTCTCTTTTTGTAAGTAAC